TTTCTAATCAACAGAATGATGTATAGGATATGATATCATTGAAGCAATCACATGATCAAACAGAAAATTTTATATTCGCCTAAGGTTCAGTACATTCAGATGATTTCAAAAGGCGATAAGGGCCTTCAAACGATTACAATCCCTCAAAATAGATCTTAAATCCCAACAAAAGAGTATTGGTTCTAATACTAACCATCGCTTCTAAAGCAGCATCCAACAAATTAGCATTCCTAGTACTAGTACCATCAACACACTCGCCACTAAACATCTATATAGTCTCCTAATCTCGCGTCTTGCAGCAATGATAGCATCCGTGTTTCTCATCATACGCTGGTGATGCATCTCCAATACATCAGACAGGTTATTCAAGATGTAGTGGTGATATCCCAGCCGGGTCTGATGAGTTTGAGTTTCCACTGCAATTCTCCACACCCACTCTCGTTCATCCAGACTCATGCCTTGGGTGTAAGATGCAGGTACCCCAGTCACCACTCATGAGTCTCTGTCCCCATGTTGAGTTTAGGATGCCTCTCCTCTGGTTCTACTAGAGTTCTCGAAAGTCACTAGTGGTACGTTTTTCCTAGCCGTGACCCTAATCCTCGAGCCATGAAATGTCTGAGGTGGTAGGTCAGGTACTGGTTCCGATGGAGGTAACATTGTTGTAGGTGGTAAAGCAGGTGTCTCGCTAGTCGCTGAATCCTCAAGATCATATGGGTCCCCATCCTCATTGATTGATATATTCCTTCTAGATTGACCAACCACGTAACCAGATTCATCTGCCAAATAATCACTAGGAATAGATGATGACATAGTGATCTGTAATATTGGCAAACTTAATTACTAGACACATCATCAATGAAATGCTTAAGGTTAAGACAAGAGTTACTATGTAGAGACAAAGGATAGAAAACAAATTAGAGCTTTTGGATGACCAGAGCCTCTGGTTGTATTACCAGAGCCTCTGGTTGTACTACCAGAGCCTCTGGTTGTACTACCAGAGCTTCTGGTTGGAGTTCCCGCACTTGGTACAACATTTGTCTTTTAGTTCATCGATCTCTGGTTCAACATCCACTTAGTAATGTAAGGGATTTTTAATTCATCGCCCTCTGGTTCTTCATAACTTAGCGAACCGATGGATCGCTTTCCATCGATTCTCTGGTTCCTCATTCTTGGCAAACCGATGGATCAACTTCCATCGATCTCTGGATCCTAATACATGGCAAACTGATGGATCACCTTCCATCAATCTCTGGTTCCTCATACAGACTTGGAATATATCTTCCTTTCGTGGACCAGAGCCTCTGGTTCCTCTAACCAGAGCTTCTGGCTCTCAAGGTCAAGCCAACCAGAGCTTCTGGACGCCCTTCATTTATATAGAATAGTGGTCCTTAATCAAAACTAGAACGCAAAGTTCACTTTATATGCCCAGGCATATCTTACCTAATGCATAGTGCGAACTTTTGAATACAGAGGTTATAGAGACTAAGCCCTTTATCTATGTCTAACTACCAAGTATTCAGATACAGAGTTGACCCTTGGGTTGTCTTAGTGCTCTATATAACTTGCTTCACTTCTCAACTAGAGCTTCTGGTTAGTCTAGGGCGATGGATATTCAAAATTCATGCAAACACACACAATCATGCTTTTCATGTTTTAGACAAATTCTCTAAATTTGAGCATACTTCCAACACAAACTATTGGAATCTTTTATCATAATACTTAAGTTAAACATAGGTGATCAGGCTCTGTTTAATTTAAGTATAATAACACGACATTCATCCTCTGGTTATACTTAGTAACATTGTTTTGAAAACATTTGGTTATAATTTGTGGTTTTTTTAAGAAAACCGGTGTTCTCTATAATCGAGGCTCTGATACCAAATCTGTCACACCCCGCTAAAACTGAAACATGAGGCGTAACACGTAAGCATTTTATAGCTCCAATTGATAGATAACACCATTAATAACATAATCCGTGAAAATTTACAAAAACATAACTCTGCAGTTCATGATGAAAACAACATCATTTACAAAAAGAGATTTCTAAACAAGTTGTGAACAAGTGTTATCACATAAGATCTTCCAAAACTTTCATTCTTACTTAATTTCCTGAAAAGCATGAAACATAAAACGACGTCAACTACAAAGAGTTGATGAGTTCACGGGTTTTCATATGCACAAAATATT